GCAAGTCCAGAGAAACAGAAAGTTAGTCTGTGGTTGCTAGAGGCTGCAGGGAACAAGGAATGGGGAGTGACTCCTCATGGATCTGGGGTTTCTTTTGAGGATGATGAAAATATTCTGGAGTTAGTGGTGATGGTTGTACAACATGGTGAATATACTAAAAACCACTTACCTGCACATTTTATTTTATTTTATTTTTGCAGGGAAAGATTCGCCTGGAGCTAACATCTGTTGCCGATCTTCCTCTTTTTTTTTTTCCCTCCCCTAAGCCCCAGTGCATGGTTGTATATCCTAGTTGTAAGTCCTTCTAGTTCTTCTATGTGAGCTGCTGCCACATCATGGCTACTGACAGACCAGTGGTGTGGTTCTGTGACTGGGAAATGAACCAGGGCCACCAAAGCAGTGAGAGTGCCAGACCCCAACCACTAGACCTTCAGGGCTGGCTCAACTGCACACTTTAAAATGGTGAAATTTAGGGGCTGGCCAGGTGGCAAAGCTGTTAAGTTTGCCATGCTTCGCTTCAGTTGCTCAGGGTTCGCAGTTCAGATCCCAGGCATGGACGTACACACTGCTTGGCAAGCCATGCTCTGGCAGGTGTCCCACATACAAAGTAGAGGAAAATGAGCATGGATGTTAGCTCAGGGCCAGTCTTTCTCAGCAAAAAGAGGAGGATTGGCAGCAGGTGTTAGCTCAGGGCTGATCTTCCTCAAAAAAAAAAAAAAAGAACAGGGGTCCATAACTGCAGTGATGGATGACTCACGGGGGTTTGCCCTCATTCCCGACTTGTGCAGAACATGTGGTTCAAGTTCCTTCCTAGGACTTGTGAAGTCCTTCATAATGTGACCTCTGCTTACTTCTCCAATCTCCTCCTTGCCATGCTTCCTCCCACGTGATGGGATGAATTTTCTTCCTTCAGCTTTCCCCGGTGCCCATGGTCTACACATCACCAAGCTGAGAATGTTCCCCAAGGTAGAGAAGTGGACAGGCTTAAACTAACAATTCACCAATGCTTTGCAAGCAGGTAGCTAAGCCAGCTAAACTAGGCCACATGAAAGATCAGAGGACCTTTTAGACATCTGACTCTGAGGCCAGTTCATGGGTTCTGTTTCCCACCCACTTGATTTGAAGCTCCCAGCCTAGCCCAGCAGCAGAAGTGGACGGAACCGAGTGACTGCCAACCTCTCTAAGACTGAGTATGAGAAGAGGTGGGACGTTGGGCAGAGCAGGGAGTGGAGGGAACAAAAGAGTTTAAAGAGACCAAAGAAATGGGGCAGGAGAGAGGAGGCAGAGAAGGATCCTAAAGAGGAGAGACGACTCTCCGGCCCATGCTTACTCAGGGTGCAGACCACTTGGGGCGCGAACGTTGATTTTAAGTCTTGGCACTAGTTAGAGGAGCTGGTGCGCTAAGAGGAGCTGCTCTGGAATATTTATTCCCCTGAGTATTTTACCTTAGTTGTAATGTGCCACTGGAACCTAAAGTAAAGGATTGCTTCTACTTTCTTTTACACTGTCTGTGTGATTAAGTGACGAACAGTAAAACTGCTTGGTTATGGACTGTACCATCTCCTCCTTCCCTGTTGAGGGCTGCTAAGCAGGAGTTTCACCCATGTGTGCTCTACACACTAACCATTGTCATTCCCTGAAAGTTTCATGCTCTTCTGTGCCTCTGAGCTTTCACATCTGCTGTTCCCTCAGCCTTGAATGCTTCCTTCCTCTCTCGTCTGCTTATCCTCGTCCTTCATGGCTCACCCTGGAGCTTTTGCTGACCTTCCCAACTAAAAGGTGAGGTGCTGAGAGAGCTAGGTGCCCCTCTTCTGTTTTTCCATAACATCCAGTGCACCTCTCTTACAGCTCTTGTAACACTGCATTGTGATTATTTGTGTAAATATGTCTTCTCCACTAGTTGGGAGGGTGAGGATCGCACCAAGTTTCTCTCTTTATCTTCAGGTCTTAGCAAAGTGCTCTTAGCACCCAGGTCATTTTCAATAAACATTTTCTAAGTAGATGAAGGAATTAATAATAGCATCCTGCATGTTGAATAACAGCCACATGTTGCTTTGTCCCCAGACTAGATCTTACTTAGTGTCCTCACAGCCTCCTACTAATGTACTTCCCCTCTGACCTAAACAATTTGCTGACCCCCTTGTCAGAAATGTAGACGGATCAGGGCTAACTGGATTTGTCTAAAGAGGAAGAGAGAAAGACACTTAAAGCAGCGAGGCCTCATCTCGTTGTAAAGTTTACTGGATTCAATCTCAATAAAATTGGACCTGCTGGCACAGTCCTCTTCCAGCCCTCATGTAATAGAGGGGACACAGATGTTGAATGCTGCATTAAAGAGAAGTGTGGGTGGAAGGGAGACTGCTCAGATGTGAAGGAGCTAGTTGAAGGAGCCAGTCTTGCCCATTAGTGGCTGTTAAGAGAGGGGGCATTTTGTCTATTACACTCAGTGTCCCCTCCAAGAACCTCAGCTTCCTGGAATCTGAGCACATGGAGTCTGACCTCCCTGCCACCAGCAGCCACGGAACCACAGATGATGGAGGGGCTCTGACAGTTTATGGTTGCCTGGAGCAAGTTACTTCTTTTAACACCTATTTTAAAAAGAGAATAAAGATTCTTGTTTGTTGTTATGAGCTCAGCAGCACAAGGTGCTCACAAAGCACCCCACACATCACAATTGCTGTAATTAACTTCATTATGTTTTTGTCCTGTAATAATGTACCATTAATTACAGTCCATCAGAATTCTACTTAGGTACAGAATAATGCACAACAACCATTCATTTATGTATATGTTAAGGATATTTTGAAAAATTTTGAAAATTATAGAAAAGAAAATTAAGTTCTCTTGGAATATTCCTATCTAGAGATAACCATTATGAGTGTAGAACTTTCTTTCTCTTTTCTTTTTTTTGCGATGCATATATATCTTTTTTAAAGAATCAGGTCCCACTGTGTCTTACTGAGGCACAGAACTGCAGGCTGTATCCTTCTCTTTGCTGTGTGGTCTCTGCGGTTTATGAAGACTGTACAGTATTCCGTTTCACGTGTGGACCCTGGTTAATTTGGTCAGGTCTTAGTCATCATATCGCATCCCAGGGACTACTTGCTTTGTGAGCTTCCTGCTGGAACTTCTGGTTGGTGTTGCCAGGATTCCAAGGCTCTGATCGACGCCCCCGGGCTGCTAGGTAATTCTTGGAGGCTCTCGGGAACACTTGGGGAGAGGGACCCCATAAAGTTGGGTCTCCACGTCCCTGGATGTCCTCAAGGCTGGAAGATCCAGCCTGTAGTGGGAAGGGTAATCAGAGAAATTTAATTTAATTGGGAGGGAGAACAAAGGAGGAGAAGAATTTTACCTTAGTTTGAACTCTTCAGGATGCCCCTTCAGTAGGCTGAATTCCTGCAACTAAGTATACTTCAACTCAGTTTACTTCAGTTCAATTCAATTCGACCCTTAAAAAAAATCTGAGTGATCTATTTCTGTAGCACATTCTGCTGGGGACCTGGAATTACCCCATCTCATTCTTTTTCCTTCTCTCTGGCCCTCTCTCAGATGGGAAAGCATGCTTCTCCTCAATTGCTTTCTCTTGTCCTCATTTTTTCCACCCCTGGGGTATATTCTCTTCTGGGCCATTTCTAGATCATTCTACCATCCTAAAAGGGATCTAGAGTAAATGATTGTGGACTCCTGGGCTGATTGGATCCAAAATATGCTAATCATTCACATTATTTGGTTCATTCATTAGGCAGCCTTTTTTTTTTTTTTTTTGAGGAAGATTGGCCCTGAGCTAACATCCGTGCCCGTCTTCCTCTACTTTAAATGTGGGATGCCCACCACAGCATGGCCTGATAAGTGGTGCATGTGTCCACGTCCGAGATCTGAACCAGCCAACCCCGAGTCTCTGAAGCAGAGTGTGCGAACTTAACTGCTATGCCACTGGACTGGCCCCTAGGCAATCATTTTCAAGCATATACCACGTGCTAGGTCATATGGGTATGGCAACCAACAGCATGGACACAAACCTTGCTCTCTAGGAGCTTACGGTCTAGTGGAGGAGCCAAGAAGTAAATAGGGAATTACAAAATGATGTAATGGTGTAAGAAAGGTCAGCTCAAGGTATGATGTCTCATTAGACCAAAGGACAACTTTTATCAAACTTGTAACTTTAAATCTGGCCCAACATCCAGGTTCCTGGACTCATTCAGAGAGCTGCATATATGAACTACAGAGGACTCTAATTTATCTGCCCCAGTCTTGATTTCTGGACTGGAGTACAGCCCAGGTCCCATCCATTCTGAGAGACCTTCCAGATGGTCACATGGACAGGTTGGTCCTGGCCCCCTAGCTAACCCCTATGCAGACTCAGTAAACGCCAGCTGAATTAAACTTGTCAATCTTCCATTGATTTTTTTTTTTCCTTTTTAAATCATTAAGACCCTGAAATCAGGCCAGGATCAAGCATGAATAATGCAATTGTTACTCATCTTGTCCAAGATCGCCATTTTCATCTTTCCAACCTATTTAAAGGAACTGAGAGCCAAGATAAGTCTCCTCCAGACAGACATCAACTAAAAAGCTATAGACAGAAAACTCTGCCACTCCTGGGGCTTCTGACCCCAGCTGTTCAATGGAGGCTGGCCCGTGCCTTTGCTCTTTAGCCTACCTTAGATGATGGATGATGGACTGAAATGAGCTGTGAGGGGTTGTGCTCCATAGCAACACACCAGCGGAGGGCAGGGGCGGGGGTGGGGGTGTGTGTGGCAAAGTCTAACGGTTCAAGCCTCAGTTTTCCGTCCCGGGTAAGTTCACATGGCTCTTCTTCTCTAGTCTCAAATCTGAGAAATTCCCCTCCAAAATTTTCCTTTAGAACACAGTCCAGATAGAATTGGAGTTGGGTAGACTGAAAAATGTTTACTTCTCAGCGTTTTTGACATCACTCTTTGAAGTTCAATTCTTCTGATTTTCCCCATACTCAGGATCTGCCTATCCCCTCCTTCCCCCAGGATACAATGACCAAGAACCAGGAGCAAAGTGAACGGGAGAAACAGAATTGTCAGGACGTTTGAAGAGGGGAGCAATCAGGTTCGTTTACTTTGAGGTTTTTGAATTGCAAATTTTTGCTGAAGAATAAGGAAAGGCCTCATGTTTTAATATGGACACTTTTATTTGCCCCTAAATTTCTATGACCCAATTATATGCTGTATCCTCTAAATTTAGGTCTTGTTTAGGAATGGGTTAAAATTAACACTTATACACATCAAATGCTGGAATTTAGGAGTTCATATTATTTGACTAATAACAGAAAGGTTTCCTGGTCGGTCATTTTATCATTCATCCTCAGATTTAGTTTGCCATCTGAAACTCGTCAACCAGGGACTAGGTACCTCAGAGAGCCCAACATCAAGTGAAGGCCACACAGCCTTAAATATGCCCAGGTTGACTGAGGGCCTGGGAGCAATTTCTGCATCTTGTCTCTCTTGCCTATATGTGTTAATTGGTTTGCTCCCTAAATTAATTACTTGTTCTTATTAAGAAGTAAAATAGAGAGCCAGACCTGATGGCCTAGTGGTTAAAGTTCATTGCTTTCCGCTTTGGCTGCCAGGTTTGTTTCCAGGTCCTGGAACCACAATACTTATCTGTCAGTAGCCATGCTGTGGCGGTGGCTCATATAGAAGAACTAGAAGGACTTACAATTAGAATATGTAACTATGCACTGGGGCTTTGGGGAGGGAAAAAAAAGAGGAGGATTGCAACAGATTTAGCTCAGGGTGAATCTTTCCCAGAAAATAAATAAATAAATAAATAAGAATCATTTCCATACTGTTGGAACTATTATAATCTTTTTGAAGCCTTCAGTGTGGGACCTCCTGTCTGTTACTGTATTTCTTTAAAAGAAATAAAATGGAAAAAAATCAAAAGGAATGACCCACTCCAGATGAAATCAAATTAGCCTTTAATAGATCCCTATCATTCCACCATTAAATGAGATAACATAGACACACAATATAAGAAAACTATTATTTTTATTTTTCATCCAATTCAACCACAGCTCATTAACATCTTGTGTGTGCAATTGGTGAAATTAGTGTCATGGCTGCTTTCCCAGTTGGCCAGATGGCAGGGGATCTAAACAGCAAAGCTCAGTATGGATGGTTATCTGACGATGGAATGTGATGAAATGGATGGATTTGACTTAAGGGTTAAAAATATAGATCTACAAGTTTCTCCAAATTCTTCCCCCGTAGCCCACTGAGATAGCACATCTTTTCTTCAAGTACAAAATATTGGAACAAGGATTCTGTAAGCCATCACAGGAAGCCACTGCCTTTTTACTCAGATTTATCAAGTCCTCATTACGTGAGTGCTTAATGTGTATTATTTTATTTAATCCTAGCGATAACTATATGATGTGGGTGTGATTATTATTTCCTTTTTACAGATAAGGAGCTGAAGCACAGAAAGGTTAAGTAATTAACCTAAGTGGCTCTAATTGGTGGTCCTGGGGCTCAGTCTCAGGATGGTCTGACTTCCAAGCTCACACTTTTAACCACGGTGCAAAGTGCCTCTCCTTTTCTCTGCCAAGATGGTGAACAAGTTAATGGGCCTCAGTCTTTCTGTAAGATGTAAAAGGAAAACAGTAGTGGCTGGGGCTTTCAAACAACTCTGTTTCTTGCATGAGTCTTCACGAGTAGCTCTTCTTTGAGGATAGACTAGTATAAACCAGCCTACCAGGATGTCCCAGGCAAATGGTTTAACTACATCACACATCCGTTTCTTCACGTTCCCCTAAGGCTAACGGTTCCAGCCCCTTTCCTGCTTCACATAAAATGTATGAAGTTTAGTGATATGATGTCATCACATGCAGTTTGAGCTTCTTGGAAAAAGGATGCTATGTAAACACAGTAGAAGTGATAGAAAAACAGTGTCAGTATGGTATGTATACAACATAAAATGGACTAAATTATTTTGTTAGAGTTAGGGACAAAAATAGCTCCCTAATCTTGCATATCTATTTTTTAATCAGCTTGCATGTTGCCTGTGTCTGTGGCTTTCAAGGGCAACCTGAAAGGGAAATGTGTCTGATAGAGCATTGATTGGATTAGCTGTTGAGCCTTCTCCTTTTAGAGGAAATATTGCATTATCCAAGATCTTGCCTATTTCCAGCTTTTGGAAAAACCACAAGTCAAAATTTTGTTGCCAGATGAGAGTGTTATATGGAGGGAGGTTGGCTGTGAATTTCCATATACTAAAGGCCATCCTGACTGTCCTTTATGAAAGATACAAGAACTTTTATTATGACTCAAAAATAGTAAGGTCACTTTAGGACTCTTTTTTTCCAGTTACCAAAACATCTCTCGTACTGCCCAAACCGAAGCAGGCCACTTTCATCTCAGAGCAGAAAATGGAAGAAGCTAGTGTGAGATCCAAGTAGTTTTAAAAGGCATGCAGGATGTGAAGGTACCTAACGCTACTGAACCGTACCTTCAAAAAATAGTTAAGGTGGTAAATTTTATATTATGCATATTTTACCACAGTTAAATTTTTTTAAAAGGTTAAGATGGTAAAATTTATGTCACGTGATTTTACCACACTTTAAAAAAAAAAGAAAAGCGAAAACCTCAAAGGATGAGAAACTACCAGTCTTGTCTAGTGGCTCTGTACAGCGCCACCTGTAAAGAGAGCTCCTCTCCCACAGATAAGAACACCTAACACCCATTACACTTCCTGATGCACTTTCACACCCGCCCCCTAGGTAAGTGTCTGGAGGAAAGGAACACTTACCATTTTCTTACTGTGACGTTGAGAAAGCGTTAAAGGACTCGTTGGTCTTTCTTTTAAGACAAGAGAACCCTTCTCCACACTCCAGGCAGAGGAACGCTCAGGGAGGAAAAAAACTGTAAGAATAATCAACGTGCATATCACAGACTCATCAGCTCTTACCCAACAACTCACTTCAGTTAGATGGAGCCTGCGATTGGACCCTCATAGTTGCTGACCTGTAATTTTGTTTCTAGACAGGAAGACAAGGGACTTTTCACCTCCTCTCAATCAGCTCGGTTGTACAATTCTGATCTCGAGCTGAAAAATAAATGCCTGCTATATTGATGGCTCACGTTTTTGTGAATATGGGAGAATTCTCTGACATCTTTGGGGTGAAGCAGAGATGGAGAGCGATGTGGATCCAGGCTGCCCCGGGGAGAGAAGCCCAAGGCATCCTGGCCTACGTGTGCATCTACATCATCCTCCGGGAAGCATAGGACGTCCTGATCTGATGCGACCTGACTCGGATCCAAAGTTATAGGACCACCCGATAACCGGACCCCACCTGCACTGATACCATTTTAACGACTTTTTTACATGATCTTTCCTTTGTTTGTAAAGAAATAACTCACATACCTATGTCTTATAAATTTAGCCCTCCCCTCAACACATTGCAGCTCTTCACTGCCCATGGGTCCTGTCCCCATGCTATTCTCTGAATAAAAGAGCACTACTACCAGACCTCGAGAATCCAAGAAATCTTTCTTTCGACGACTCGGCTCACCGAGCCCGCGTCAGAGAAGACAGATGGGCCAGAGGCCTACTGTGACATTTCTACCAGTATCCACATGTGCTGGGCGGCTGATTCTGTGGGAAGAGCAGTGGCCCTGAAGACCAAGCTCCTGGCTCTTTCCTATCCCAACTCTGCTTCATATCTGCCATTTAACTGCTCAGAGTCTAAACGTCTTCATTCATGGAACTAAAATAACCCCCACTGGATAACCCACTATCTTTGCTTCATGATCTTTTGCTGAGGATAAATAAAATAATGGATTTTAAAACGTTTTGAAAAATGAAAGCACTGTACACATGTGAGCTATTGTTAGCATGTTACTGAAGCCAGTGGTATAATGGAAAAGTGCCGGGTATCAACAGACCCGAGCTGGGCCTGATGGTCTCAGAAAAGTAATGAAATGAATTAAATGAACCTCTTCCGGTAGCCTTGGTGCAGGCCATCTTCCTAGGCTCTGATCGGTTTCTATTCTTTCAGATAATGAAGATGGCTTTGTAACAGCAAAGCCAATTTGATTTGTTAATTGATGCTCCTACATCCTAAGTGTATTTTTCTCATGGTAAAATATAGACAGCGTTGTGGGTGGGGAGCAAGTCTACCAGCAGACGTGGAATTCCTCTTCTCCCTACCTCGTGTATGTGTAGGTCATTGTTATCTAAGGACCAGCTAGGGTGCTGTGGTTGAGGAGACAGGGTGTAGACAGGGGTTCCTAGCATGTCTCTGTAAGAGGTGTGTTTGTGTGGCGCATAAGTACCGGGCGAGTCCTTCACGGGTGTATGTATCCAGGGGATGCGAAAGTGTGTGCGTCTGCAAGGGCCCTCCTTGGTGTTATAACCTGGTTTCACAGGCAGAATGACCCTGACTGCACAGATGCGAGTGGTGAGAGAAGGCCAGGCTTTCAATCAGTCTTGAGATGGAAGATGAAGTTTGCTGTTTTTCCCCTCCCGAAAGACTTGGGAAACGGCCCCTGGGGTGGGTTCTTGGAAAAAACAGGACAGCGACTAACGTGTCTCTTTGTCTCTCAACCCCTCCGGCCTTGAGCCGCAGAGAGGGGGCCGCGCGGGTCTGAGCCCTGGGTGGAAGGAAGAGGCGTCAGACAACTTCCTCGGCGGCGGCGGCCCCGGCGGCCGCGGGGGAGCGCGGCTCTGCGCATCCCGCCCCCGGGCCGGGAAGGGGCGGCGCCGGGCGGGGCCCGCCCCCAGGTCCCCTCCTCCCGGTCGCTCCCCGGTGCCGCGCCGGCCGCGGTCACAGCAGCCTGCGGGAAGCTCGGAGCCGGGGCCCCGAGCCGGGCGCGGGCTGGCCAGGCTGGGCTGCACGCACGGGCTCGGCCGCCGCCCCTGCCGGTGAGTCCCGCCGCGGGAGGCGCGTGGAGGGGCGGGCGGGGGGTCAGGACCGCGATGTCGGGCAGCCCCGGGGCGCGAGCACACGGGGCGGGGATGTCAGGATCGCGATGCTGGGGAGACCCAGTGCCAGAGCACGGAGGGGCTTTCAGAATCGCAATGTGGAGGAGCCCGATCCGGGGGGCGGAGGCCAGTGCCCCGATGCTGGGGACTCCCAGAACCGGAGTCCTGAGGGCGAGGCGGCGGGTCAGGACCGCGATGTTGGGGAGTCCCGGAGCCCCTGCCTGGAGGACTGAGGGGTCAGGACCGCGATGTTGGGAGCCCGAGCCCGGAGGGCGGGAGAGTCAGGACCGCGAAGCTGGGAAACTCCTGTGCGGGAGCCGGGGCCACGGACCGAGGGGTGTCCTGTGGGCATTCTTGGGGCGCCCTCCGCAGGGCGGAGGGGAACAGAACCCGGAGGGGAGCGCAGGGGAGAGGAAGCCCGAGGCGGGCGGGGCAGGAGGGGGAGCCCGAGAGACGGGAGCCCCGGAAAGGGTAGAGTGGGGTGAGGCGGGTGGTTTCTCAGGGGAGGGGTGGAGGGGGCTTCGAGGGAGCGGGAGCGGGAGGGGAGTCGTGCGGAGAGCAGGAGAGCGGCTGGTTGTGTTATGGAGGATAGGGGGTTGGAGGGGTGGAACGCCGCGGCCGGGGATCCGAGGTGGTTGGGTTGGTGGTGGGGTCTCGGGGACCATCTCGGCCAAGGGAACGCAGCCCCTCGGTGGAATGAGGTCATGGACGCTTCGAGAAGGCACCCACCGAGAGAGCACGACGAGGCAACCCCAGACGGTGACGGGGTGGGGACTCTGCACCCAGCGAGCTCGGGGAGTGATGGGAACTTGAGCGGGGAGACGCGGGAAGGGCGCCCCTTCCTGACCCGCGCGGGGACCTGAAGGCAGCGGGTCACCGCAGCATCCTGTGCAGCTGTTGGCCCTCGGGCACAGACCGGAAAGGGGGACACTCGCGGGCCCGGACAAGCTGTTTGTAGCACCCCATATTTCTGAGCTGGGTTAGAAGTGATTTTGCCTAGGGACCAGATGAGAAGAGTCTGGGCTTGAATAGTTATGAAGTGAGATTACAAATATACAGGTAAGATCTACCTGTGTGTGTGCCTTAGGCATAAGTCATAATAAATGTGTGTGTCATTTTTAGATTCACCTGTACTACTTGCTCCCCACCCTCCTGTGCTCTGTGAGAGGCTGTTTCTGAGGAGAAACTGGAGTAAAATCAGCAGTCCCCACGCACAAACACACACGCCCACAAATGCACAGCATTCCACAACCGAGTAAACAGGAGGAGCACTGTACAGGTTTGGGAGGTCGTGTTGGTGAGGGTCCCTTTACTGAAGTTAATAGGAGGGTGGGCTGCCCTTGACTGCCCTCCTCAGATGTCCACATTCTGTACCCTCCCCTGAGCTGTGCCCTTGACCAGGTGACTTGGCAGGGAGCTAGGCTGCTTAGGACCCCAGTGGATGGGTCTCCTAGTTTGTGTCTAAAGGTAAGCAAATGACCAGTGCAGTCTGTTGTTTTATTTTTTTTTTTCCTGTTGTTTGCCTTGGGTGCCTGGCTCCCTTTAATTAGTTAAATAATGTTGACACATTAACTTGTCCTATATGGTTAATTATGTATGGTAATTCGTTTAATTATTTGGTATAACAGCTAGAGTGCAGGAAGGCCGAGGACCTGGGAATCCCATTCTGTGGATTTCTTCATTGGAAAGTTCCTGGGCTTTGGGGGGGCAAAGGGAGAGAGATGCCCCCCACTCTCTTCCGTGCTCTGCATGTAGGTCCATCTTCGGACACACACGGAGACTGAACTTTCTGGGCAGATCAAGGACTGTGTTGGCAACTAGCTCATTTCTTTTCTTCATGAAAAGGAAATCTCTTCAGTAATTAGGCAAGTTAACGGGAAAGTGTTTTATTCGTTTCATGAGTATCATTTCAGGACAAGCCTTTTTTTCATTAAGGGGGTGGTCGGAACCTTGCACCAAAATCTGCATTATCATGATCGCAGCAGCACATTATTCACTTGGCCATAAAGCTAGCTGATTCTTCCAATTCTTTATCCAAAAGTTAAAATAAATATGCCAGTATTTGTACATTCAAATGAGTGTTTCTCCCCTTCAGAAGCCTCCTCTTGGCAAGCTGGGTACTAATTCTAGTGATGCTGTCATTGCTGAGAATAATTTTGGAGTTCCTGCTTTGGAGTTGCCTTCAGAGTTTGCAGCGCATTTACTGAATTACCTCCTTGATGGCACACCTTCCTTAGCTGGGAAAAAGCCAAATAGTGTGTGGGGCTACCTTTGGCTTCTGAGGTGGGGAATTGAGGTTGCAATAGGAAGGATGCCCATTAGAGTAATGAAAGTCCTCTTGAAGGACTGGCAGCCTTAAAGGGGACGTCCAGTAAAGGTACGTGTATGTGGTTAGGATTGGAAAGTAATTGAGGTGCAGCTTTCATTTGGATGTTTATGCCCTGGTCTGTATGTCACAAAATTGGTCTTATCACCTTATTGTCATACCTTATGGCCTGTTGGGCTGGAGAAAATAAGCCTTTCTTTCCACCTTCCAGGTAGTATTTACCAGGCAGTTTCCATCACTGTGCATTTTACAGAAAACAAAACAAACAAAAGATTTGTTTTCTCACCAAAAAAGATACCCAGAAAGTCACTTAATCCGTATGTAGTGAATGCCTGGCACTTGAGTTTTTATGTGAAAGGATCTATCTAGAGGCGAGGGGAAGAGAATAAGTGCTGAAAATCCACTTCAGTTTTGGGATTCCAAGACACACAGTGTGAAAAATTAACTTAAGATATCCCTTTTCTTCCGCTGTTTGCCTGAATTCCCAATTTTTTTTCAGGTTATCTAACATAAAGCTTTGTACAACCATCGCTTGAATCTTGATCTAGCTGCGATCCTGGGCAAGTTATTCTATCTCTTTTGGCCTCAGTTTTCTTACCTTAAAATGAAGATGCTAATGAGTAGGTACTCATGGGGTTAGGATGAAGATTAAATAAGATTTATGCATGTAGAACACTGAGTTCAGTGCCTGATACATAGTAAGTGCCTAACACTCTCTAGCTATTTTGTTATTAATATTGTTCATTGATAGTTTCATGTTAAGATTCCTCTGAAGCCATGTACAAATTTATCGTTTCCCAGGTAATGCTGTTCTCTTTGGCTGGGCTTGGTGAATAAATATGTGGATGAGAAATTGTGCTTTTACTCTCTGGCCTCTTACCAGTTCTTCAGGAGTGACCTTAACGACAACTGTAGCTAGCTACTTTATTTTGAATTCAGATGTTTTTAAAAATGAGCATTCCTGTTTTGATCGTGTATTAGGTATAATGATTTGGTGAAAGTCTGAAAGAAAAAGATTTAATAGCTTCTCCTGTAACTTTTTTTCCTTGATCCGATAAAATATTCTAATGAAATAGCTACAGTTCTCATGGCCTGTATT